AGTTGCTAATTATTCACATTGCATAGAGGTCATGGTTGTTAAGCTAAAGGCTTTACATGATAATGGCACATGGAGCATAGTACCTAAGCCTTCAAATTCCCATGTCATAGGGTGCAAATGGGTTTACAAAATGAAGTTAAATGTTGATGGACAAGTTGAATAGTATAAAGCACATTTGGTTGCTAAGGGCTATAGTCAGATTACAAGATTTGATTATCAAGAGACCTTTAGTCCAGTTGCTAAGTAGACAACTGTTAGAGTATTTTTTGCCTTAGCAGTAGCTTCCAATTAGAACTTGACAAAATTAGATGTGAATAATGCTTTTTAAAATGGTGATTTGGAAAAAAAAAAGTATTTATGGAACTACCACCAAGGTATGCAATCCAGGGGGAGTATCCAAAAGGTTCAAAGTTTGGTTATAAACTCCATAAATTACTGTATGGACTCAAGTGGGCCTTCAGGCAATGGAACGCCAAGATTACCTCATTACTTTTGCAATATGGTTTTCACCAATCTATTGCAGACTATTCTTTGTTCACTATGAAGATAAATAATCATGATTTCATTGCTTGACTACTTTATGTAAATGACATATTGATTGGCAACACTTTAGCATTGGCTGCAGCTGATGTGGAATAGTTTTTGAGTTCACACTTCAAACTCAAGGATCTTAAAGTAGTCGAATTCTTTTGGGGTTAGAAATAGTAAGATCTTCTGAGGGCATTTCCATATGTCAAAGGAAATACACCTTAGATCTCTTGGAGGAGCATGGTTTATTATGTGCTAAAATAGTCTCGACCCCTATTGACTACAATCACAAATTACTCAAAGCTCAAGATAAAGAAAGACTAGCTAATCCAACAAACTACAGGAAATTAGTTGGAAAATTATTTCATCTCACCTTCAGCATGCTAGATATGTCTTATGCAGTCCAGGTATTGTCACCATTTATGTACAATCTTAGACTTGAGCACCTAACAACAACTCACAGGGTATTTAAATACCTAAAGGGATCACCAGGTCAAGGCATTTTGATGAAATCAAAATTAGATTTGAAGATATTGGCTTATTGTGATAGTGATTGAGCAGGGTGCCCTAACTCTCGAAGGTTGATTACAGGTTATAATGTGTTCATTGAGAGTATCTTAGTAAAATGGAAGTCAAAGAAATAGTCATTTGTTGCACAAAGTTAAGCAAAAGCTATATATCGATCCCTGGCTACCGCATGCTGTGAATTTATCTGGTTGAAACATCTATTATCAGATTTTGGAGTGAAACATGAGGATGCAGTGGTGTTTTATTCATACAGTCAATTAGCTATTCACATTAGCAAAAACTTAAATCTTTCATAAAAGATTAAGCATTCAGAAATGGATTGCCATTTTATCAGAGAAAAGGTTCTTGAAGGTATAATCAAACTAATACACATTTCATCTAATTGACAACTTGCTGATATGTTCACCAAGGCAATTTCATAGTCTTTCGAGCAAGATGAATGTTTGTAACATTCACATTTCCTCTTGAAGGGTAGTATTGGACAATTTAAAGATGAATAAACTTAGAATTGTAGAGATGAGCTGAGTACCAGACTGAAGAATGCTTAAGCATCAGAAAAGGAAAGCAAGTCTGGAAATAAAGAATAAGCAAAGAGCACTGTTCTAAGTAAAACAAAGAAAGGCCGGGGAGCAAGGCGCACCGTTTAAATAAAACAAAGAAAGGCTGGCCGAATGAATGGGAAACGTAGCGTTTCAATAACAAGCTTTTAAATTTCTGATATATTAGTTAAAACTGTAATTATGATGCTTTTTTCTCTCTTATTTCACTCTTTGAACACGTATATATACACAGCTCTTTTGAGCTTTGATTCAATGAGAAAAACCCTCACATTTTTCTCAGCTTTTGCGCCGACTTGTCTTTTTCTTCTGCCCTTCATTTTTGTCATATGTAAAAGAAATTACTTGTGTAATGATTTCCACAGTATGCAGTTGGTTTTTTTTCAAATATTCTCACATCACATGATTTGAATTAACGTGACATAGTTTTAACATGAAATAATTGTTTTATGAAATCATTTATTGTAATAATATATTAAGGATAAAGGCAGTACAATTAAAATTTAAGTTTTTTTGCTAACTCCCACCATTTTCAAGGCACTTGAGGTGATTATAAATAACATAATATATAGATAAAAGTCTTTGAAACATCTTAATATCATGTTGTTAATCGAGAGAAACATAAGCACATATCAAGAAATTTTAAAGAAGTTCAGAGATATGTCAAATATTGGAAGAAAGTAGTATGAAAGTGCTCAAAATTTCTGAAAATTTGTTTTTCTTTTATAATTGACCCAAAAAAGTAGTTACTTAACTAGAACCTGACAGAAAGCACCGGTCCAAAGAAGGAAAGAGTCAAAATTGAGCCAGTCCTCGCTTGGTGGCACAGTCAAGATCCCATTCGTGATTCATGCTAGGTGGTGGTGGCATGAACTTAACCAGTACTACTGCTCTATTAGCACGTGATGTCCGATTGTGGAGTAGGGGTCCCTCACTTTGCGGGACTGGGGCGTCCCTGTCACCCACAAACCAGATAAATTTTTATCAGAGACCATCTGTCTCAACCCATATGCCAAATTTTACCTTCCACACTGCCTCATTTCCCTTTAGTGCTGTAACTCCAATTTCAAATTTTTATTTCAATCTCTTTCTTTTTCTGTTGCTCGATTGTCATTTATTGTCGTAATGCCACCATATTATAGGTTGGGATGCATACATTGTTGTAGAATCTTTGTCGCCCTCTTTGGTTCCCATCAATCCTTGTAATTATTATTGCACTTGTGAAATCAATTCTTATCCATAAACACACAAGAACGAAATTTTATGTTGTCTATCAATCGAGACATATAAAGTGTGCCATGATATTTTTTCTTGTCCAATGGCTTTTGTATTTTACCTTTTTATTTTTTGTTGGCAAATGAATGATTAACCACAAATAATTGCAGGATCCTCGGGATTGATCAAAAAATTTTGGAACGAAATTTCCATGACCAAACAATCGGGTCAACCAAATTAATTAGTCACTAAATCAAAAACCTTAGAGATGACAATTAACGTAACAATGTAAACTAAGCAATTTACATTATTGAAATATATTAATATTATTCCGCTTAGCTAAGCCCCTGCGACTACTAAAAGTGGGTTACCAATATTAGTATGTTACCGGTAAGATATCCCATGCAACTTACTACTACAAGTTAATAACCAGGAAAGACAAAAGGTCTCATTTGGTCGGTAAGAGACAGAACAAGCTATGGGATGTGTCTGCTTTTGAACTAGATTCCCTTTGCACTGATTTCTCCTTTGTTATCATGAACTGTCCAACATTAGCGTCCCAGTTCATTTTTTTTTCTGCTTTCACATCAAAAATCTTACAGTATCTTTATTTTGTCCTTTGGATTTGCCCTCCAAAATCTTACTACCTACCATTCCATTCGTCCCTATCATTGATTATAATAAAAATAAAGAAGGTAATTGTGACCTTGTACTCAGCTCAGCAGGGAGTTAACTCATATAATTAGTACTACTTCTTTAATGATTATCAGTCGGAAGAGCCATCTTCATTCAAATGTTTGCGGAAAGTTTGTGAATACTCTAACAACATGCATTTCATGATTATTTATTGCATTAGGAATGATGATCTTTAGGTAGGAATTAGGGAATCAAGCTCGCTCTCTCTCTGTTATAATTTTTACTACATATATAAATAGCTAGGGAGAAAGTAACAAGAAAAAAAAAAAGAAAGTCAGGACTTGGGTGAAGACAGAATTGGGTGCTTTATAAATCATTGTCTAGTAAAAAGGGTCCCAAAAAATCAGCATCATGTCTCATTCCATCTTTCCCCGTCTAAAAGGTGTAGGCAAAATTTTGAATGATACTAGTAATAATCTTGTATTGTAAACAGGAAGTGTAAATTACAAAGTTATCAACTTAATATGCATACTAATGCTAATCATACTGGATTTAAGGAAAAAAAAATTGTTGCAAAGGGAAAAAGGAGGATAAAGCTTGAGAATTTTGTGGATATAATTGATGATTATATTGGAATTTGCATGCATGATGCATGTGAGGAAAGCACATATATGATTCGCACGAACAATACAAACTTGGCGCATGCGCTGTGCAAGATGATCTGGAGTTTGAATAATGATTAGGTATATGCGGTGGTGAGAGGATAAGTACATTGTGTTCGCCCAATTATTCCCTTCACGATATAAAAAGAAGTATAAGCCACCATGAATATTCCGCTTCAGATAAAAGGTGAGATACTAAGTATGAGATCTGCTTGCCCTTTGGAAAGTTATGATAGGGGTTTAAGGCTCTCCGTTTTCCTTATAATTGAAGCAAAAGCTTATTTCAAGTAGTTCGTGAAAGCTGCTTTTCACCCTTCGCTTATTACTACTAATTTTATTATTATCCAAATTTTAGACATGTTTTCGAAGGTAATTGATTAGCTTAGCTGAAACTTTGGGTGGATAAATAAGGGAGTGCTGTAATGACAAAGTCCATTCAACAGTCGATTCCTAAACAACCCTAAGAGAGGTAGTAGCAGTTCTTGTTAAGTTTGGTCCCGAAGTCTAGCATAGGGAAGGACTTAAAAGGAGAGAAAAGCCAAAACAAATAAAAAAATTAAACAGGGTTTTTTTTTTTTTTCCCTTGTGGAGAAGTGGAGCCTGCTAATATCCCTCGATGTTGAAAGCAAAAGCCATGCATGTTCAATACAAAGATGATTTAACCAAAGGAAAGAGTAGCTTTCCAAAAGATGTTTTCAAGCATTTCTTTAGATATATATATCGCCTGTCTTCATCACAACATGCATTTTAAAAGCTGTTTCTTTTTTTTTTAACAAAAAAATCTCGAATAAAGAAGGAAATTTATATGAGGCTTCAGTCTTTTTGTGCTAAAATTTAATATGAGAAAGTGAGAGGAAGAGAGGCAGCATCATTAACAAAATTCTCCTTTACACATAAGAAAGAGGGAAAGGGGATAGATTTTGAGGTCCTACAATAGCAACTACCAAACCCCTTAAAAGGCTATATAACCTGCTTAACGAAACCTATAACAAATGCAAAATTACACATAACCTAAATAAAGACAAGCTAATAACTATAAAACCCTTGGAACCGCGATAAAAACAACTTTATATTTCTCCCCAGCAAAGTACTAGTTTAATTAATATTTTTTTACTTTATTTGCATCTCACAAAATTAATCCCTCCCCATACAAGTACAACTTAAAACAAACATAACAATCTAATGTACTCGATTTCTTCAACATTTTGTCACATGATTGAGCACCCACTTTCATCATCATCGTAGTCATCATCTTCATTGAATTTTTCGATTGGATCAGACGGTGGAGGTGGTGGTCCGTATGCATTAGCATGCATGGCAGGCGCGTAACATGAAGAGCTTGAGCTAGGGTAAGTCGTGTTGTAACTTACTCCATACAATGGAGGTCCATAGTACATAGGTGGGTATGGATACACAGGCTGATTTGGAGGGCTCAGATTCATTGATGCCATTGGTGGGGCCTGTTCTGGAAGGGCCAGAGCAGCTGATAGGTTATCTCCGGGCGCATCATCGGTGGGACCAGGGTCCCCTTGTTGCCCTTTCTTTTTCTTCTTTTTACCTCCATTACCACCACCACTTTCGGCAGTGACTGGTTCCTCGCTTTCACTTCCCATTTGGTCCCCTGCTGGAGGCTGATCATCTCTAGCAGGGCCTTTACCACCACCCGCACCGCCATTTTTGGCAGCGGCTAAGTCAGGCTTTTCTTCTGAATTTTTCTTCGGGTCTTGATCACCACCAGCTTCTCCGCCGTCTTTTCGTTTCTCATTGTTCTTTGGCTTTCCAGGCTTTTTCTCTTTCTTTTCAGGCTTTTCTGGCCAAAGTTCAACGTGTTTCCCCGACTTGGTTAGCTTCTTGATGAGAGTTTCTGCATCCACGCTGCCAGTAACTGTCACCTTGTGCTGTTGAGAATCTATGGTCGTCTCATAAACACCTTATTAAAAACAGATGAAGAAGCGTCAAAAATAGAAGAGAATCTGCATTTGTTATTGTACTTATTAAATATGCAAAGAAAGTATAGGCAGAATTAACTTATAGAAGTAACATATACCATCAATGCCTTGAAGAACTTTCTTGACTTTCTTCTTGCAGCCTTCACAATGGATTAAAACTTTCAAGGCCCAGGTCTATGAAACAGTTAAGACGGAGTCAACTAAATTAGAATTAAATATGCAAAGCATTGTTGGTGCACCAGAAATGAACAAAGGAAGAAATACCCGGAGTTTCTTATTGTGTTCTAGATTTGCTCACCTGGTATCTCAGTGCTCCTGCAGCATCTGGATCAGCTAGTTTAGTTGCCATCTGTGAGAGAGAGAGAGAGAGGAGCCTTTGAGAGACGAGAAGGGAATGAGAAAGGTTGGGAGTAAAAGAAGCAGGAGAAAAGCAATATCGAGAGCAATCGGTGTGGATGCCACATCACCTTTTAGCCCAGTCTCTTACTCACCAGCGTAATCACGTGACTTTCTATTTGTACGGCTTTTCTTCTGCTAAGGCAGTCAAAAATTTTGAACCTTGCATTTAGTTACTTAATCTAAGTAGTTAAGTTGGAAATAGGAGAGCTCGTACCTAGCCTAGGAGTACCTTTCAACTTTTGATTCACAAAAAAACATGGCAAGAAAGTTTGGAAGGCTAGGCTGCCGGCGAGCCTAAAAGATTCTTTGCCAGCTGATAGGTGATTAATACGTACTGCTCTGAACCTTAACCAAAATTTGGCCTTGTTTAGAGTGGTTAATAACTTTTCTTATTGCTAAGCCTAAGCGATGCTCTTGCAGGCGCAGGCTCCAAGTGCACTGGCTGTGTCCTTTCTTTCGTTGGAAAAAACACTCCTTGGTGGTTTGACCTTTTTAGTTCACTTTCGATGGGATTTTACCAGAAAGAAACAAATGTTGAATAGTACTACTACATTGAGTAAAATTACAAGCATAACAAATTATTGAACTCCTTTATTACAAAAAGGCTAGGACAAGACATAATACTAATCTCGTTTTACCCTTCCCAAGGCAAAACATCCATCTTTTTCTTTTTTTTTTTATTTCGACTTTTATGGAAAGTAAATTCAATTAAAGAAATACCCAGATTCTGGCCCCCCGTCACTGGAGCACATAATGCCTCCGTGCCAGTTATAGCCTTTGAACTAACAAGTTTGAATTATCATCAATTCAATTAAAATTCATTACTATACTTTAATGTTGATTCTGAAACATCGATCATCTCATTCATGGCACTTCACCAGCTCCGACTTCCGTAATAAAAACCACAGACCAGGACATATTATTTATTGATTTGTATACTCGGTAATAAATTGGCCTTAATTTGACACTACTCAACATCAACACAATCCCCTGTTAGTTCTATTTTACGAGGTAATGTGGCCAAAGAAAAAGGCAGCAAAAGCGCACACATATGTACAAACAGCCTGTTCGATTGGAAGGGAACATTATTATTTGCCATCTTCCTACAACTTCCTCCCAACAAGTATTTACATTGTTCAACAATCGGTCAGATACTTTTTTTTGCAATGGTGCAAATTCCACAGATCATAAAACCAGACAATC